GAACAGTAAAGACAGTACAACAAAGAGATTGTACAGTCTCCCTGCGTGGAGGTGTTCAAGGCCAGAGTGGATAAAGCCCTAAGCAACCTTATTTGACCTCATAGCTGAGCGTTCTTTTAGAAGGCGGTTGGCTAAGAGTCTTCCTGAGATCCCTTCTGACCTGATTTATCCTATGATCCTACGTGCTTGCCTTTGTTACACTGAGTGTGTGGAGTGTGGTATAGAACGTCCTGGTTTTGCCCCTTTTGTCTGCTGAATGCCCTTTTTTAGTGCAGTATAGAGAACTGCTGGTGGTTCTTCTACCTGAGGATAAGCTTTAGATCTTGATCATGCTTTTTGATTTTTCTCTTCAGAATAATCTGTAACTGGGTAGAGCAGCAGATAGTGTAGTATATAGCATAATGTTACCCATAGTGCTACATTAAAATGGTAAATCTCTGTATGTGATGTGTACTCATGTGTTTAATATGATTACTTTGGATAGTCTTTTACTTAATGTTTTGCTAAGCCACCACCATTTTGTTAACTGTTTACTAACATAGGATATTCATGCTATGCTTGTTTTGATTTTTTTTTCCCTTTGTTTAGACATGTTTATTAAACTTCTAGTTATAAGAGTCCAAACCAGATATAGCTCTGGTCTTTTCTTCTTTCCTTGTAGTTCGTTGTTGGGTTTTGTTGTGTTTTTTGGTTGTTTGTTTGGGGTTGTTTTAAACTCAGTATGGTTTGAAAGAGCAGTTTTATTTTGGAAATGCATTGATTTGTGCCACCTTGTATTGAATTGACTATCTGAAGCTTCATTCTGTTTATGACCTGTAGAGCTGTCCATGTTTAATGTTTATATGTACTGGTTAGTTTTTAGCATGCTGAATCTAATTTCAACATGTTGATTAATGTTTGAACAGCAATAGATGACTTTTCCCAAGGAGACTCAATAAGGTGAGACTTAAAAAATATCTAAGACTTGCCTGAGGAATGATTTGAGAGACACAGTACTCATTTTGCTTTGCTTTTAAAGAAGCTCTGAGAAAGAGGAGAGTGATGACAGTTGGCATACCTCTGAGGAAGAAGAACTCGATTTTACCCCCAAGGTATGGTGCATTTACAGGAAAAATGTCCTCTAAAAATAAGGAACTAAAAGGCAAGCTTTCTTCAGGACTGGCAGAAACTGCAGTTCCAGCCAATATTGTTTTCTCCTTAGACACAGTCTCTGGCCTGCCAGCCTATCTTCTGCTGTAAGTTGTTTCTAAAAGACCTCTAGCTGCGGAACAGCATGCAGCAGATTTGTAGTTTGGAGCAAAAGAGCAGTAGGTGACAAAATAAACAGCCACGTAGTTTTATTTGTTCTTGTTCATTTGAGTCAGATTTTCAGATCCTAAAAGCTTGTAAGTTACTATTATAACCTGTTCTGTCCTTCTCCAAACATTTGTTATTACTTCCTGAAAATTTGGTGATATAATATAACTAAGGAAATAAGGACATTTATTTATCAAGATCTATGGAAATCCTTCATCACCTAGTTCTCCTTTCCTCCTCCTCAGGTTCCTCAAGAGTGCTTAATGAATGAATGAGTTACTCAAATGGGTCGTCTTTTTTCTTCTTTTAAGATGGCATTCTGTTTGCATGTGATCTCACACTGCATGTTTTCCCTCTTTTTTGAATGCTCAGGATAGTATTCTTTTTGTCAGTTATAAGCTCTGATGCTTTCTATTTTTACTAATGATCTGAAGAATTATCAGCTGATAATGTCTGGAGCATCTGTTCTGTTACACTAGGATTCTGCAATGGTGAGGAACCTGAGTGTGGTAGTTCAACCCACTCTAATGCTAGAGACGCAAGCATGTTTAGTTTTAACATGATTTCATTTTCTTGCACTGATTTAAATAAAAGTTACGCATTTTTTCTGGCATGATTTTGAAATTTACGGATATTTTGGTAAGGGTAATTGCAGGGACTAATCTATGCATTAGGGCTTGGGATCTTAACGGTTACTTGCATTGTGCACATTTCCAAGTAAGCATCCTTAAACTGCAGTCTTAAATATGGTGGAATTTTACTTAAGTATTGCAAATATCAGAAACAGATTTTTAGAACTGTTATGCATGTCATCATAGTTTTGGAAACAATTTGCAGAAGGGTCCCTGCACGGTGTGAAATACTCACTCAAGTGCTTGTGTGAGGAGTGTGTAGTTACAAGTATAGGATAAAGAGCCAGCACTATCATAAGGACAGTCTGATTGAATTTACTGTTCAAGATTTGACTTGAACAAAAAGATTTGTTGTTGTTACTGTTAAAAAAAATTTCATAAATAAATCTTTGTTTCCAGAAGCTGCAGAAGCCAAACTTGACACTGTTAATGAATGCTTCCCAGCAGTTCAGGAAGAACAGTAAGCTATTTGAAAAAGGTTGCATGATATACTGATATATATAAAAGTGAACTTGCAAAGTAGGTTTTGGGGTGGTGGGGATGTTGCTACAATAAATGATAAAAGTAGCGTTTTGAAAACACAGCACTTAATAAATCAGAATAAAATAAGTCATTAAAACATTAAGATGAAGATATTAATCCCCTCTTAAGTCTTTTTCTCTTATACAAGTCCATCCTCCATCCTGCCCATCCCTTACCTGTCTCCTTTACCAGACATTCCCAGATGGCTCCTCTCCTGTGCATTAATCAGATAAACATGCCTGTTGTGTTTACATAACTCCTTCTGTTCACATCTATTTTCTGTTTTCTTGTGCTTTAAGATGATGGTGATGGTACTAGAATTGAAACTCCTAAGTCACCAAAAAAAAGTCTCAAAGAAAGAATCCCATCAGATGCAAACAAAGGGGACAGTGAAGAATTGTTTAATCAAGATGTCTCAGCTGCAAGCAACCTGGAGGAGGAAGAATCAGAGGAGGAGGAGGAGGAAGAGGAAGAAGATGATGATGATGAAAATGACAATGGAGATGGTGATGAAGATTATTTGAAACTCCTAAGTCACCAAAAAAAAGTCTCAAAGAAAGAATCCCATCAGATGCAAACAAAGGGGACAGTGAAGAATTGTTTAATCAAGATGTCTCAGCTGCAAGCAACCTGGAGGAGGAAGAATCAGAGGAGGAGGAGGAGGAAGAGGAAGAAGATGATGATGATGAAAATGACAATGGAGATGGTGATGAAGATTATGAGGAGGAAGAGGGAAGAGGAGGTGATGATGATGAAAATGACAATGGAGATGGTGATGAAGATTATGAGGAGGAAGAGGAGGAGGAAGAGGAGGATGATGAAGATTTTATTCAAGATGAAAAGGAGGAGGAAGAGTTGGAAGATGAAGGAACTCAGTCTAATGAAATACTGGAAGAGGAGCAGGGGAAGAAAATGGAATCTAAAGGAGAAATTAATCAGAAATCAGAGTATTTTAGTAATGCTAATTATAAAGGGGAAGCTCGGTGTAGAACTGGAGATGTCTGTGATGATGATAATATGAGTAAAGAACTTGATGAAAAGGTGGAGAAATCTGTTGATACTCCTGTGTCTTTCATAGCTGGATGTTACAAAAGGCTGCAAGAAAATACAGCAGCAGTGTCTCCAAAGATCATGAATAATGAAGTGTCTTGCAAGACAGTGCCAAAACAAGCTGTCTTTCCGAATCCAAATAATCTGCAAGATATGCAAGAAAGCTGGAACAGGAAAAGTATGATTCAAGAGAAGTATCACAGAAATGGTGATTCCAGTTTTGCAGACTCTGAAATGACAGGCTGGAAGAAAGAGGTACCTCAACCTGTCTCAGATAGTTGTGGTCTTCAGGAGAAAAAGCCAAGCTTCAGTGATAGCTCTGAAAGTGGTAATAATTCTTGGTTAGTAACAAAAACCCCAGGACTTGAAAGTGAAAGGCCAACCTCTGTTGTTCTTGAACCTGTGGATGATGAAGATACTGAAGAAGAGCAATATGAGGGAATAGATAATAAAGTCTGTGAACCGCTGGAACAAGAAAGTGAAAACTTGAGGTTAAATAGGCATGAAGAAAATTTGAGAGCAATATTTCATTTGAGCACCAATGTAAGTATATATGAATGAGTCAATCACAAGGCTATTTTCTAAGGATAGTATAGGTAAGAAACAAATGGTAAACTGGATTTCTGTTAATACTTATTCTTCGCATGTATCCATCTTTTGACCATCTATTTTTAATGTTAGATAATGTCTTACTCCTAGCCAAAATAGTTCCTTTGCTGTAATAATACAGTTTTGAGGGAGAAAGAATAGGCAGTAGACTTTTCCCGGTATCAGTTAGAATTTTCTTAGTTCTGTGTACAGTTTTTATCTGGGAAAATTTACTGCCATTTAGGAAAATTCGTGGTGGGATGGGTGAAAGTGAGGTAACAAATTTGTGTAAGACTGAGAGCAGGAAGCTAATGATTTTCCTTCGAGCCAAGTAGGGCTAAAGGAGGAATATGTTCCAGAATGATGTAACTTAAATGAAGCTAGAGTTAACTGACATGAGGAAATGCTTATGAAGGAGTGGCAAAGATGATGCATGTTTCTCTTCTTTTTACCTGTTTTGGTTGATCTCTTTTAGGAAGAATCACCTGAACCAGAAGGAGAGGTTGAGGAGCAGGAAAAGGAGGACATTGTTGAAAAGCTACAAACTACAGTTGTTGAGGATGTGAAAAATTCTGTTTGTAGTGATAACCATGAAGTCCACAATGCTTCAAAAGATAGCTCTGGTGAGAGAAATGAGTTAGTAAAATTCTTCCCAGGTCTTTCTCTACAAATTTTAATACATAGAAAATTAAGAAAATGGTGATTGACTTCTGAGCTAGAAAAATTTCCCTTGCCCATGAATCCTAGTGGGCACTGGCAGAGAAGGAAAGCAGCTCTTGTTCCTTTTCTTTCTTCCTTGAAGAACTGAAAGTGTAGCATTGTATTCCAAGCTATATGAAGCAAGTGCCATTCTTATTTTGTTGCTATATTCTCCTTGAAGTGATCTGAACAAAAGCACAGATGAAAGAGAAGGAAGGACTAGAATGTCTTGGGTATGACAGTAGTATTCCCTTTTCAGGCCTGTACTGTCAGACTGAAAAGCTGTGATTGCTCTTGACTGAAGCCTGGGGAAGATTTGAGGCAAGCTGAGAGAAAGCTGTTCTCTTCCAGTGCCTCATCTTGTCCAGTTATAAAATGTAGAAGGTCTCCCTAGTGCCACTCTTCTGTCTGCTTACAAACATTGTCAGCCTGGTCAGATCTGAGCACTTTATCACCTGAGGTCTGAGAGCAGGAGGAGAAGGCACCATTCCCATTGTCTGTCTCCAGAGAGTAGCCTGGTTTGGTAGATGTTACGAGGGCATGTGTAGCTGCTGATCAAATGCTACACAGGGGACCTGCTTGGCAGAACCTGCTGTATTCAGGTGTTGTGCCTACATGTGCTCATCTCTCTGTATGTATTTTACCATAAGCATGCATTTGGCATAGTGTAGTAGTCAGAGTCCAGGCTGGAACCAGCAGTTGCCTCATCTAGGGTGGATGCCCTTCATGGGTCCCCAGCTCCTTCCCCCTTCTTTGTTTGTATGCATCCACACAACTGAATCCTGAATCAGTTTTACCTAATGGAGTTGCTTAAAACAGAAACAAGATAGTATAATCTGGCCAAGAACCCACTGAGACTGAACCTTAGAATTGTCTGGTAGTGAAGAGGTTTGAATTTTAACCTCCTGAGATAGAAATGGCTTTTGTTTGGGTAACTATTTGAGCTGTGAGCCTCTCCTTTGTTTTAAAATGGCAATGCTTAGGTGTTTAGTGTCTGGGAAGGTGTAGGGTGACAGCTGTGTCAATGGAGATCTTTCCTGGTAGCACTACAAAAGGAGCATTATTTATTGGTGATTTCAGTGATGTTTGTGTGAGGATGTTTTGGATAGTTTTTCTGTGATACCTCCTGTACAGTGGGAAGTGATAGTAAATGCCAGATACTGGAGCTGTAAACTGGAGAGAGGTGACTTAAACTCTGTATACAACAGGAGTGCAGCATGCTGGACTCTCTTCCTGAGTGTTACCCAAACATGGGTTGGATATTGTCTGTATCTGTGGTGCATAGCCATCTTCTGCTGGAAAGGAAACTAAAGGAGGTCACGATGTAAAGGAAATAATATGATGTGTCTGAATGTGAAGAAACCCTTGGATAAAACTCTCTGCTTTGTTTGTCCCTGGCAATAGAACCTGCATCTTTTGGGTGCAGGGCTTGACTGATGGAAAGAAGCAGAGTGAAGTATAAACACTCAAGCATCACACTTCTTACCTTGCTTGTAGGTGCCCTGCCAGCAGTGGGAACAGAGCAAGAGGAAGATACTGAATCTCCCTGGGATTCTGAGGTACTTAGTATGAAGGACATGAGGGTTACCACTGCAGGAGGTAGGAATAAGATCCAGAAGCACTTGAGAGCTTGCTGTGCCCTACTGTTGATAGGACTTACTTCTTCTTTTGCTGCTTCTGCCATATGTTTGTAACTGGTGGCCCTTTAAATACTTCTGCTGTAGACCAGCTGTTCATTTAGGATTGGGATGAAGTGAGGTCAAGCTAATGGTTTGGGTCTCATAGCAACTGGCCTTTGAGTTTGGTTTCTAGTATAGTATTGAAGCAGTGAAGTTCCTTGCTGCGTAAAATACTCTGATCTTTTCACAGAGGCTGGCAGGAGTGCTATACAGTGGCACTATACACTGTATGGCAGGAGTTGCCATACAGTGCTATTCTTCTGACCTGATCAGCAGATGCCCTTGGGGGTCTACAACCTAGATGGTTGACTGCTTCTGAATAGATCCTCTCTGTTGGGAAAGGTGAAGGTTCCGCACAGGGAAGCAAGCGGCCAACTCCGTGTGGGTGATACAGCAAGCTCCAAATTTATTGTCCGACAGGCTCTTTTTTTATACAATACAGGACAGGCATATAACTATAAATCATTTATAATTGGCTAAGCTCTAGAGATAGCATTCAGGTACTCTCCCTACTTGCAGCTGCAGCTGTGAGGATTATCTCTTGCTTTCCCAGGCTTGGGTGCATTCCTAGCTGTTTGTCTCGAACTTGTTTGTCTCACCCTCAAGGACGACTTACCCCTGCCATCTGCCATGTTGAGTTACTCCCTATCTATATATAAGTTACTATCTCCAGAGCCTTGCTTGTACACTGCATTCCCAGGTGCGTTCCCAGGACTGTGTCCTTGCTCTTTTTAGCTTTCCCCAGGTGCATACCCAGGATCATGTCCCGCCATTCTCCAACACCTCTCTACCTTTTGTAGACGTACTTTGGCCCTTTTTGAACATCATGTTCAACGGAGACACAACACGTGCTGGTCGTGTTTGCCTTTTTAGTTCTTTCTCTCTGTGGTAGTGAGCAGGGTCTGTAGCTAACACCCTCTGCCTTTTGTTTGTGAGGAAAAATGAGCTCTTCCCATCCCCTTCATAAAAATACAAGACTAAAATGTTGCTATTTTTACAGTAGCTGTAAGCTTTGCCTTGCTAGTCTTTGATAACCCGAATGGCCTTTGCAACTGGGAGTAGCACTGTGTTCACTCACCACTGCAGGGTACATGCCTTGGAGATGTCAACACAAGCTTGAACATCAGGTGCAAGTTCAGTGCAAATGTTGGATCACTGCAGACCTGCAGCTATTAGTTCACAACCTGCATCTTGAGTTACCACATTAATTCTCTTTTGTGACTATCCAGTTTATTAAGGTTTGTCAGCATGACAGAATAGTTTAGACAAGTTGTGAAGCTTTTGCGCAAGATCTGAAAACACACACAACTTCTGTGATTTGCCAGTGTACTATGTCTTGATGTATCCTTTCCAAGGGCTTTGTAAAAGGTTTTTGTATCTCTAATATACTTGATACCATGCTACACAAGTTGGCTTAGCAGGAGCTTTTTGCCTAGAAATGAGTTGAAAATGCATTTGTACCAATTCTTACTCATGTGTTCTAGGTTGCACAGGAGGATTCTGAAAGTCCAACAAAAGTATCACCTGGTGTGTTACTCCCATCTGTAGAGAGACGTGGAGCATGCTCACAGACTGCTGCAGGGGAACATGACAGTGGTAACTTCCTGCTGGGCTAATGTTTGTCTGTTAGCATTTAGAGGCTAAAGTGAACTTTTATCATCATCTGGTAGAAATGTTGTCATGACGTGGGCGTGAGCTATACCAATGAAGTGCTTACTATTTGTTAATTAACACCAGTTATCACAGCACTTGCTGGCCAGTTTGTAAAGGAAGTTGTTTGCATTATGTGTTTTCTTTGGACATGTCTGTAATTTTTTTTGAGTCATGTTCTTGTTGCATAGTGATGAAAGTGTGTGTGGTTTAGGACTGACCTTTCTGAGCATTTAACATTCTTGGATAATGCCATGGAAAACAGCTATCATCTGGCTAAGCTTTTTTTTCCCCCAGCTTAATTTTTGGGAGTTTTTTGTTGTGATTTGCCTAGGAGATAGAATGGCACTAAAAGGTTGGGTTTTGTCAGTGAGGATTTCTGCCTGTAGTTTGTAACACTGCCTCTTGAGCATCTTGAGCAAAACTTCACAAGCCCAAAGAAGGCTGAAATGTAGTTGCTAAGTATTTGTCATGGAAGAATGCTTTGTATGATTCTACTAAAACAAGTTTAAGATCAGTGTGAAAAGAGCGTAAAAGGTGATTGTGATAACCTTTCTAAAGTCCTTCCATACCACTAGACCTCCAGGTTTAGTGAAATCAAATACTATTTGTTTTTTAATGTTGGTTTGGCTTTTTTTTAAATATTAAAAAATTTTGTCCTGAAGCCATTGTTAGTAACATTTCATATACTTATTTTGTAAGAGGACTCAAATTGTAAGATAACTAAAGGGTCTGAGAAATACAGGGAGGGCAATAGATTGTGTGGGTTTGGAAATTATTTCATGTCAGCAGAAATTAAAGAAAAATAATTATCTGGAACGATGCTATAAAGGCAGATTGAAACCAAACATGTTTCAGTTGTTCCTTTGCAAGCTAAACCAGAACAATCTGATGAGGACTACTTTGATTTTACCTTGTTGTGTGTGTGAGGTTTCTGTGTCTGCATACATGCTTTCTCAGTCCCATCAATGCAAAGGAAAATACTACTCAGCATTAAGCACTGGTAGAATAATCACAGTCATAGTGCTGCTGAACTGTTTTATGATCATTCATTGCAGCAGACCAGCTTGGACTTTTGAAGTAATCCTTTTAGAAAGGAGCATTCAGCTCCTCAAAGGGTCCAAATATTTTGATCTTGTTCTGGTAATAAGCATGACCTTATTGCTTTACATAAATTGTCCTAGTTCTGTGATAATTACTTTTAAATCCAAGGTGCATGATAGGAAGTACGCATTGTGCATTTTTATACTAATACAAATGCTGCATGATGAGGTAACTTGTATGTTGGGTGTTGTACTCTTGATGAAGTAATGTTAGTGACTAATACTTAGTTGTTGAAATTGCTGCTGTTGAATAGAGTAAAAGATACCTGCAATGAAATAAAATAATGTTTCCCAAACCATTTTTCACATACAGGCTTTTTGGAGAAATCCAGCAATTCACAGGTAAGTATTAGTTTATGTCAGACTGACTACTTCTTCTGCTCATTACACAGAATGTAGTTATTTTGAATTTGTTGTTTTATCATTTAATTTTCTCTCATAGCTGAAGGCTCCCAAATCTGCTTTGGAGACGAATGAAACCTCTCCTAAAAATAGGCAGCAGAAATCAGGTAATGTTCACTTCCAAGTTTAGCTGAAGCTTAGCTGGGTTTAGCTTCATAATCTTTTAGGACTATTTAATAAGGCATCTGATTTGTGTTTGCAGATCTGTTGCAGGAATTTGATTTAGAAGATGCTGAGGATATTGAAGGTATTCATAACAGTCTCTTTGTAATGTTCTTTTATGGACAAGCACATTATGCTTGCAAATTTTTTCCTAATATTAAATTAATGGTCCTAGCAAGGTGTTCTGGAAGCAGAAGGTCTGTTCATGTGTTTACTCCCTCCTGTAATCTGTCATTCACCCCTAAATACCCTTCCATGATGTAGGCTTCCTCCAGCACATGTGTTGTCATCTCCTCTTTTCAGGAAAGTTTGCTTTCCTTCAATTTGCGTAGTATGTTTTCATGTTATAAGCACAGAAGGGAAAGGCTGCCTTTCCATGGCTCATTTCATGTCAGCTAGTTTTCCTGTGTGTCTTTAATCATTTGTGTCATGTTATTTTTTACCCATATGTCATCCTGAAGATCAGGTATTAAAAGGTACATGTGAAAATTTCTTTCAAATGTTTTTGTTTGGATGGGAGTTTAAGCAATTTAAATTGCTTCAGAAAGCATCACAATTCCTGCAGCACAAATATTTATATCTATAAGAGGCTTAAATTATATAACAGACAAGTTTATTTAATAAATCTGGAAAACAGGTACAGTATCTTGTGCAACTAAATGTTGAACAAGATGAAATTTCCCATTCTCTTTAATTTGTTATTGACTCTTACTAATAACTTCTGAAAGTCTGTTTTTAGGTCAAAATTGAGTAGTGGTGTTCTGGTGTTTAAAGTATAGAAGAGTATCTGCTTTGCACCATAATCTGCAAGAAGCCATTCTGGCAGACAATTTATGAGGAGGGAAATCTCAAAAGACATAGGAGAGGTAAAAGCTAATTGGAAAGAACACTCAGTCATATTTGGATGCCAGCTAGAGAACAGGCAGAGTAAAAGGTGGGGGATTTGCATCTTTTGTATGCACAGTGATTTATCCATTTTATCCATTAATAAAAAGGCATGCTGGTAACAAATGACTGGCAAAAATAGTAGTTAATTTGCTTTGTGAAATATTTTTTTTAATCCTTTTTTTTAATGTCAGGCTCTTCAGAATCTTCACACTAGTGTTCTGCCATTGTTTTATCTAAAAATTTCTTCTGCACACTCTGAACTGAGAATGTGAACTGCATGTTTAGAAGGCCCGTACAAAATGCCAGGTGCTGTCAGGTCTGCTTTTATCCAGCTATCAGGCAGATACAGTCAACCAGGAAAGCTTTTTCAGTCTGTGTTGTGCAGTATTCTTCAACAAAGGTGTCACATAAAATTCTCAGGCTATCTTTCAAGCAAATCTGGTGCCCATATTACATGATGACAGTGATCACACATACCAGGTTGTATAGTAGGAAGCTGCATGCATGTTGCAGTTCATGACCCAAATAAACACTAATAAAGTGGAAATGGAGTAGGAGCAGTCCCATCTATCTGACAGATTGACCACCCCCTGCTGTACCTATGATGGGGAGGCACCTAGGAATAGCAGAAACTGGACATACCTTCTCTGTCTGAACTCTTCTTATTCCAGGAGAGACTGTTACCACCCAAGAGGCTTATGTGCAAATTACTAACATAGCTGTCTATGCCTAGTTCTACTCTCCTATGTTCTTTTTTTCATTTTGTTTTCTGAAAGGATGTTACAAAACAGTGTGATATCTGTGCAGGTACTTTTCTTGGATTTCATCAGGCTCCAGTGCTTCTGGCCTTTCCTTCTAGTTGGCACAGCCAGAACTGTATGCTCAGCAAGGGGGGTACTTGCTAGTTCCAGTTATCCATCTACTTCATATTCTAGTAAGAGGGACAAGGACCCATCTACAAAATCTATGCATAACTATTGGAGGAGAGAAGGATGTTCATCTCCAAATTCTAGATTTTATTTCTATAGAAGCCAAGTGTTCATTTATTCCAAGCATCTTGGTAGTCATAATTTATGAGAGTTTCTACCATACCTTCTATGGTGCTATCTGCAAATGTTCTTTGACCACCAGCACAACTGTTCTCTGTTCTTATTGTTGGTCAGAGCCTTAATCTGCACCAGCAAACAGTTTGGTATTGGGATATTGATAAGCATCTGTAAATTCTAAAGCTACTCTGCTGAAAAACAAGGGGAAAATGCCTGTGGTCCTTACAGAACATTATCCTTAGATAATAATTAATTATTGCTCTTATTATTGTCTTTAATATTTATCAGACTCTCTGAAATGCATCATAGTCATCGATAGATCGTCATAACAACCCTGTGAAATAATTGCTCTCAACCCACTAATGACTACTGTGTCTTGGGAAATGCCTTGTGGTGAAATGCCAAAAAAACAAATCTACAAAAAAATACTCTAGAAGATTGTACCCAGCAGTGATAGAGATGGGAGAAAATAGGTTGCTCCACACTGTGTGACTTGGGGAATTGACCTCTGAAGATTACACGACTGACTGAGGAGCTTGGGTTCCCAGTTCAGACATAAGGGTTGTAACTCTAAGCTTGTATCTAATGTAATCCCCTTCAAGAAATGAAAGCTTGCCAAAGGAGTTACCTAATACTGTGCCCTTTTGTATTTTTATGGTGTTACCTACCTGTTTTTTCTGTCTTGCTCACTCTTCTTGTAGCAATGCTCTGTAGGAATGAAACTTTTGAGTACGGAAAGGCAATTGCTTAGAAATCGTAGATTTATGGAACAGGAAAGGAGGTGCAGAGTGATTAAGGTGAAAAGGCTCCATCTGTTTTGAGATGTCACACTTGAACTGCTGGGACTTGTTTCTTTCTGAATGCTTGTTACTTCAAAGTGTTCAGTGTGCCTTCCACAAGAACAATGACAGTGTGTTGCTGCTTCTGAATTGTATCTGGGACTATCTGGAGTCCCAATTCTCAGGTGTAACAGTGATTCAATGAAGCCACTCCATAATGAGGAGCCCAGAGTGAGTGACTGCTTCTAAGAAGTTTGTGACCTATCCATATTACTTAGAAATTCTGAGAGAGGGAAGAGTGGAATCCTGTTTTCAGCAGTACGAGTGAAATGTTGAGATCATGGGTTGTTTCTCAACATTACACAAGTCTGTTAGTGTCCCATCCACATCTTCTGCAACAGATGAGGCAGCAGTTTGAAATACTAAGTCCAGATCCGTGTCTGGAGACAAATTTGTTTCATGCATAAAGTAAATCTCGGGCCTTAAAATATTTCTAAGCTGTGATTTATTTTTTTATCATGATTTTCTGTGCACAACACATAGAGAAATGAAAATTGCTGGAGGAATGTTACTATGGCACACAGTGTCAAAGAGAGAGACATTGAGATCATGCACCTTTATGAAACATGATTGGTTCATTTGTGACCATTGATAGTTATTTTCAGCAAATGTTCTTTATACCTTTCATTTATTGCCTTTATACATTAAAAGGTAAAATGCCCTGAAACAAAACACTTTACACAGATGCATCTTAAATTAGTATTATGGTAATTTTCTTTCCAGGAGGTCACAAATTTGAGGGGATGTGTTATTTTTGTGTTAAGCTTTTTCTCACAAATGTTTCAAGATGCACACGAGATGTAAATAAGTAATATTAGATCATGCCCTTTGTAAAAATGTGTGTTCTCACTGTAGGTGAGTACTCAGGATCTACCTTTCATATGTCATCATCAGCTGAAAAAGAAAATGTCAAGGATGCCATTGAAAACTATGAGATGTGGGTATGTAACACTAAATGTTGTGAATTTTATTATATGTTGAAGTAAACAAAACTTACCGGTCAGTGAATAGTTCTGAAGGGAGAGTCTTGTAGCTAAAGGTTATGTTACAGCCTGAAATCAAGGGGAATACATTCTTCTTATGGTGGGGAAAAATCCTTATAATTCTGTTGAATACTTTCTGTTAGACTACTTTGTTTCCAGCTGGTTTGTTTAGATTGTGTTCGGTATTTTTCCTTTTGTGCAGTGCTGAAAACCAGTGCAAATTCTTTTTTCCCTATGCAAAATGCCCGTTCAAGTAAAGAGGGAAATTTGTTGATACTGTGCTTATCTGTTTGATTAAGCATGCTTGGTCTTCCATTTGTAAGAGAATGATGAAACTAAAATAATTTGGGGAATGGTGAGGCTGAGATAGATGGTAGCTAGCTGAGTTGCTCCTTCCTTGTTTTGAAAGGAGGAATTTTTGCAGAGAGATTGGGTCCTGGCTAGCAAGAAAAGAGAATGAGGAGTTGTATGGTCTTATACCAACTGGACTAAGACTGCAGGCCCTGTTTAGAAGGCACTAGGAGGCATATGAGGAAGGAGCATGTTGGGAGGAGTGTGACACATGATGGAAGCAGTCAGCTGTTGAAGAACAGAGCATGGTGGCAGGGACAGGAGGAGACTGGGTGGGGTTAAGGCATGGTACAGTTTTCACACGAGTTTGGGTTCCTGATTTTTGGGATGAGGGAAGGAATGGAAAGGTTTCCTTAATAAATGTTTTTCTTTGGAGCTTAGAATGGAACTTTAAAATTTCTCCATCTTGGGTGAAGAAATAGGTTTAACTTCACCAGTTCTCCATGTGGTGGACAGTAAAATGCTTGTCATGGTCATTAACAGTGTGTTAGCTTAGCTGGCAGGGGACTGTAAAATGCCAGACAGTTGAGAACAATGGATGAAGGATGGTGAGAAAATGTTAGCAGTTACAAAGGAAAATGGTGTTAAAACAATAAAACATGAAAAAATAAATTGCTTTCTAACAAAAGCCACTAGTTAGAGTAAGCAGGCAGGGTAAAAGGTAAAAGCAGCCCTAATGTCCAGAAAAACTGTTCTCTCTAAAGTAAGTCCTATTATTAAGAAAAAAATTATTCAGTAAACCTGTGGTTTAGTATCCCTTGATTTATTTTTTTTTTATTATAAAAATTGCTGTCAAAATGTGTTGATTCTGTTATTTCTGTTATATAATAGGATGAGTTTGCAACAGAAATTACCTAGGTTATCTGTAACTTCCTTTTTCTTGGTAATCTTTTTGTCTGTACCTGTTTACTTAAGGATAAATATATTTTAGAAACTACCAACTTGATAGAAAAAACAGCAAATGAAAATCAGACTGACAGAGCAGAAAGTTCACATCAGGAAGCTGTAGCAGAAAATGAGGAATCGCACAGTGCTGTCAAGCAGTTAAATCTAAAACCTTGGGAAGAAAGATATGAAAGAATGTGGGTTGAAAATGAGAAAAGGGAATTGAAAACAAATTTTAAAAGCATTACAGCAAAGCTGAAGCAGTTGTTTGGTGAAATAAATGAAACTGAGAAAATGACTTCCCTTGTGGAAGAAATGCATGAAGATGGCTTTGGTGAAGCACTGAAGAATCACTGCATTATTTCATCTCATGTGACAGAATCAAGTAAAATGTTAGAAAGCAAATGTGAATTTGGAGATACATGTATGCTAGGTGGAAAAGTACCCAAAATGGAAATTGTAATTCCAAGTCTTAGTGTGCTTCCTGATGGAAATAGCTTAAATGCAAATGTGGAAGACACCTGGAGTACAGATGAAGAAGATGGCACAAACAATACAGATAACAGAAAGGTGTCTCTAGCAAAAGAAGAGGAAAAGAAAATGCCTACTATGGGAACAGAAGAGAATGATAATGGAAGTAGTAAAAATGCAGAGGAAGGTCCTGCTGACTCCCTGAGATACAGCTTCAAATCAAGTATTTTGAGTGACACTTCTAATATTCTTCCTAAAATAAGACCTGTTTCTACAAGTGGTGAAAATTCACTTTTTGTAAGAGAAAGGAAACTTGAAAAATATTCTGGATTTAATGATGATGTCTCCAGGAACTGCCTTATCAACAGTAATAAAATAGGAGAAACAGAAATTGAAAGTCTTTTTGAAAATGCTCAGCAATCATGTGGCATCCTGGAAAGGAATCTTGATGAAGAATTAAAACAAGATATGGAAAGATTTAAGAGTAAGGTAGGAATGCTGCAAATAGTATTCCTGGCTTTGGAGAAGGAGAAGGTACAGCTGCAAAAAGAGGTAGAAGTTCACCAGCTACTCCTTATTCTTTAGTCTTCTTCCATATCAATGGTCCTGTTCACTTCAGCTATTCATCATTAAGTGAAGATGCTTTGTGCAAATGGTTATTTTCTTCTACTGGAAATACAGGGTTTAGGAATAAAGAAAGCAGTGGAGAGTTGCCCTTTTCCCCTGTTTTGGAAAGCACAGAATGCATTATTGTTCCAGTTTAACAGTAGGTGGCACTCAGTTCCTGTGTCAGTAGTTATCCTTCATTGACATAAAAAGAAATGCACACAATTAAATCATTTCTGATTCTGAAACAAAGGATGAAAATAGCTTCTGAACAGGGTCTTGACTGATCTGTTCATTTGCTGTGATTTCTGCATGGTGTGTCTTCATTGCCCTTCACTAAAATTTCTGTTTGCCGTGAAACTATTTCTGCTTGTGGGATTGGAATCTTCCCCTGCCACCCCACCCACCCCCCATGAAGGAAGCAGTAGCCAAGCACACTTCCACTTGATTTTTATTTTATATTTTCTTCTGATTTTAACATCTAACATTGTGCCTTCACTTTTTTGTTTTGTTGTTCCTGGTTTAAGATACACTATTGTTTTCTTTCTGAGGACTATATTTCCATTATATCATAGAATCATGAGTGAATTTGAACTACTTTGAATGGCAGTACAGTTTGTGGTGTCATTTTGTGACAATACTTCTCTATATTAATTATTTATTTTTCATTTTACATTTTTTCAGCGGTAAACCATGAATTATTCAATCTTGGATACTGTGTTTCTCTTTTCTGGAAATACTGAGAAATATATGAAACTTAACTTTCTTTTTGTAGGTTGAGAAGGAAAAAAGCAAACAAAGAGGTTTCAAAATTCCGATGGCAAAACAGAATGATGTTGATAAATTAAACATACCACCAGGTAACATTACTAATCAGCAAACGAAAGAAAACCTTACTCTAAACAAGGATGAGTGTTTGAAAATGGAGAATGACAACATTAAAGACGAAAAAGACAAAAAATATTTTTCACCTGAGGAGAGGTCAGAATTGAACAAAATGCCAATGAAAGGGTAAGCTAAAGACATGACCTCTAATTCTTATTTATAGCATTGCCGAACTATATTTCAGGTTTTCTAATATTGTACTAGTTGAAGTAGTTTCCTTAGTGCTCAAAGCCATACTGAGTAGTCTACTGCTTCACGAGCATTTAAGAAAAATAGTATTTTTTTAGAAAATCTGAGATCATAATGAAGGTTCAAATGTGTTCCCTGCTTTAAAAATGAAAATAAAAAGAAAAAAGAGAAACCAAATTCCTGTGAGTTTCCATGTAGTATTTGTAATACTGAAGCAAAATGAATCTTCAAAACCCAAGTTGAAGACTGGGGAAGAAAACCCAGTTATTGTTGTAGGAAATGGCGATCCAGAAAAGCAAAGTAGGAACTTGGAGTTAACTTTGCCTTCTCCCTTTTGTAGGTGATTTTAAGTGATCTATATGCAGTTGGTGTTTTCATTGAGTTCAGCTGCTCTTTGTCAGGAAAAGGGAAAAGGTGATATTTTCAGGAGGGTCAGGTGTTTTTCTGTAATCCTAAGCAGGAGAGTTTTCCTGTCTGTCCCTGAAAGGAATCTCTGCACTTCATACTTCCTCTAATAGGGATATACTTCAGCTTACCTGAAGCTAGTCCAGGTTTGACATTTCCCCGTCTGTCCTAGGGGAAGGTTTTTTAAATATTTTTATATAGTCCATGATCTTTGGAGTCAAGTCTGTATTTTATAAGAGATACTTTTCATCTCAGTTGTTTCTGGACATCATCTTAAGTATATCTGTTTTGCAGAAATATTTTCTGTCAAGTTACTCAATTGTTGGTTTGGTTTTTTTCTTTTTGTTTTTTATAGTGAATTTTCCCTGAATGCCAAAGGTGCAAAGAAAAATAAAAGACAGACTTCAAAGCAGAAGGCTAATCAGCAGATGAGCTCTTCCAGTGGGAATAATTTTCAAGTACTGGATGATAGCACTTTCAGTGAAACTTCTCAAGATGAAGGAAGGTACAAATATAAGGAATGTTTTAAATAAAACTTTACTTAATGATAAAAATTGACCTGAAAGCTAGAAGTAATTTTTTTGAAAACCTGATGTTTACAGTGGTTCTTGTTCTTTCATATGACAATGCTACCTGATGCCTTCTGTGTTCCAAATCCCCTCTTTTTTTGCTGAGTGTTTTGAACATCTTAGCCAAATTCAGTATAAGGTCAATGTGCACAAATGCTGAATAATTACCTGAGTGTGTATGCATGTGTAAACATATGTATTTTATATTTTTTAAAAAAGTAGGAGAGAGACTTATAAAAGAGCAGAATTACTGTTTCATTGCAGACATCTTAGGCTGGGTTTTTTTCTTTTGGTTCTATTTTTTCCTCCAGTTGTATCTCCCTCTAACTTCTTGCCTACCTCAAACTTACTTGTATAGAAGGCAAAATGAGAAACAGAAGTTGTTGTTGTTTAGTTGTTGTTCAACAATAACTAAAACATTGGTGTGTTATCCACACTTCTAGTCAGAAATCTTAACACACGGCACTGTGTAGGCTGCTATGAAGAAAATTAACTCCATCCCAGCCAGCCTGAGTACGCTAAGAATCCAAAGTTATGGTTCTGTGACCTGTAAGAGGAGGAGTCTCAATACTGAAGAGAGCTAAACCTCTAGTATTAAACAGGGAATGCACATAACTCTTTATCTGTATATCTACATGTCTGTAGTTGTACGATTCCTGCCACTTTGAGTGAAGTGCAGGGAACAGTAATTTCAACTATTTGCTTAATATCATGTGGAAATAATAGTCTTCCAACAGGAATATTGATAGACAAATGTTTTTTTCAGTTTTCAATATCTTACAGAATTCTTGTATTAAATTTTAATTCCCTCTTGAGAGCAACTTTAAATGTTGTTCATAGTGTAATATAAACATTCTAGAACTGAAACACATTTTTGTTTTCCAGACCTGCAGAAAAAACAGGGACGGAAAAAAACAAGGTACTGTAAAATTACTTTCTTGATAAATAGTTTTATCAGCTTTTAATCAGTTAGATGGGATCAACCAGATGCACAAATTGCTGCCAGTATCCATCTTTATCATATTTGAGCCAAGTCTATGAGCTGTGAATGAGAGAATGAATTGTTCATTCATTTGTAAGGATGTGCAATACTACATAGTTGTATACAGAAATTATGGTCTTGTTTGTAGGTCAGCATGCAAATGGATGTAACGGATGACCTTGATTTAACTCATTCATCTGACACAACTTCAGAGGATGTTGAATTACCAACTTCCACTTACAAAGAGGCTATGTTGCTGTTAGAACAGCTTAGTGTGGATCATACAGGTTTGTTTTCAAGTCACTTTTCCTTTCCCTTTTAAATCATGGTTTCCTTTGTATGCACTCCTAGGTATTTTAGTTTTGTATTTCTGTCTAATATTTCTTTGTGGTTAGAGAACCCTCTGAATGAAATTGTATCACTTTCACCTGATATGTCTGCCTGTATTGTCAGCAAATATGCTGTACTTCATCATCAGTTCCCTGTCTAGTCAGAACTGAAGAAGCAGATTCTTGCAAAGTACAGTTGAGCTCCTTCTAATACATTCATTACTTGGGAAGACAAATACCATCACTTGAAACATATCCCTCTTCCTTCTTCCAGCCTTGGCTCTTCATGGGCCACAGGTCCTTAAGGAAATATCCACCTACTCTGGCACAAGGTCCTCCACACGCTGTACTGTGGATAGCATGGTCCTCTCCTGAGGCTGCATGGAAATCTTTCCTCTGGAGCACCTCTTCCTCCTTCATTGACCTGGGGGCTTAAAGGGCTGTTTTCCACATTTTTTCCCCCCTTTTCCTTTATGGTGGTTTTATTCTCTCCTAAATACATTTTTCCCTGAGGTGCCTTCAGCATGGCTGAGAGGCTCAACTGTGCCCTGCAGTGGGTCCACTGGAGCTGCCTCTGTACCCCTGGCCTCTTCTCACAGAGACCTCCTGACTACCTGCAGTCTTCCCACTACCAAAACCTTATTACCTACACCTAATTAAATAATTTACACATTGGAAAATATTTGTGCATATGTGCAGCTTTGTCTTTTTCTATCTCAAAATAGGTTCTGCTATTTTACTGAAAATTCAAAACATACTACTTAAATATGAACAAATAATAGAACGTGAAAAAAATCGGTATACAGCTGTCTGGAGAGAAGTAAGAAAATTGGAAAGTGAAAAGGAGGAGTCACAATTAATATCAGAAGAGACTCAAGATTTAAAATCCATACTGGCTCGCCAAGAAGTGGAATGGAAAAGTGATATCCAAAGCCTTAAGTATGTACCCTTGTGTTCTGGAACATGTTATCCTGTCAGTGTTAATGTGCGAGAAGATGCTTATGATACATGTGATGGGATGAGAAGTTTCAAGTCTTTTAAGTTTGGGGATTTTTAATTCCGTGGGCAAGTTATGCTATAAAGGACATAATGTCAGGGGGAAAAATACCTGGATATTAGCTCCGTCTAAAGTCTTCTGAATGCTATTTTTACAAGAGTTTGGTGGGAAAATGAGAGTTGTGAGAGGGGTTTGAGATGTGTATGTTTTGCGGCTTCTGTTGGTGTATTCTGTTAGGAATTCAAGTAACTCCACAGAGTGCAGCTCAGAAGAGAGCTTAGAGTGTTTGCTTACGTTTGCCTATTTTAAAGATCAAATTCAGGATTGCCACTTTCCCCATACTCCTGAGCTAGACTTGGATGGTGTGAGGTTTTTAACCACTGTTCATATCACTTCAAACAAGAGTAGCTAGCAGGCACCATAGGAAATTCAGCAAGAATAAATGTAAAGCCCAACTCTTGGCAAGAAAGGATGCCCTTATGCTGATGTCCCATGGTATAGCTTGGCCAGGGAGTTTGCTGACACAGCCTTGGTGATCTTTTCAGAGATCAAGCTGAAAGTGAGCCAGTATGAGCTGGCAGGTGAGAAGGCCAATGGCAGCAGTTCAGGAGATTGAAGGGAGCAATTATCCACCCGTACTCAGCACTTGCTGAACTGCATCTAGAGCTCTGGGTCCAATTTTTTTGCCTTCTGCTACAAGAGGAATCTTAATTAATATGTGCGAGTTAAACAGAGAGCTGGTCAGGGAGCAGAAACACCAGCCTCCTGAGAAGAGGCTGAGAGAACTGAACTCCTCAGAGTTGTGCCTCCTGGTATGTGGAAGAGTATTATGAGGAAGGCAAAGGCAGTCCCAGCTTTGCCTGGATTTGACTCCAGCAGTTTTTGTTGGTTTAAGCCCAGCTGGCAACTAAGCCCCACACAGCCTGTCTCTCACTTCCCCACCAGTGGACGGGGGAGAGACTCAGAAGAGTAAAAGTGAGAAAACTCATGGATTGGCACCAAGGCAGTTTAATAGAGAAAGCAAAATCTGCACACACAAGCAAAGCAAAACAAGGATTTGATTCACCATTTTCCATGGGCAAGACATGTTCAGACATCTTCAGGAAAGCAGGGATCCATCACACATGCCTTAGGAAGACAAACATCACTCTAAACACTGCCCACCCACCCCCCACTGCTTCCTCCTTCTGCCCACTGTATATACTGTGTATGATGTAAAATGGTTCAGAGTATCCCTTTGGTCAGTTGGGGGCAGCTGCCCCAGCTGTGCCTCCTCCCAACTTTTTGTGTACCCCCAGCCACCTCACTGTGGTAGGAAAAGCAGAAAAGGCCTTGGTGCTGTGCAAGTATTGTTCAGCAAAAACAAAGCCATCTCTGTCTTATCAACACTGTTTTCACAAATCCAAAACACAGTCCCATACCAGTTACTGTGAAAAAAAATTAGCTCTGCCCCAGCCAAGTCAGCACACAGTTTTTCAAAATTCTCAAATATCTATCAATTATGAGTAATTAATATTTTTGTTGTAAATCAAGTCTCCAAGTGATGTTAACTTTACACTTATAAAAGTTATGGGGTTTTTTTTGTGAAATACTGTAAAAATTATTTGTAAATCCTTGCAATATAAATCATCGAAATGCAAATGTTGCTGTCAGTCTTTTGAGTACTGCTGATACTTGTTTGGCAGAATTTCTAAAGTAGGTTTTCCATTACCAGTCTTTCCTTATATTAATGCTTTTTCCTGGTTGACTGTTGCAAGGATATGAGAAAAAATGCTCAAAATAATTATGAAACATAAAATTGCTTTTTTTGTTTGGGTACCACAGACACACCACAGACCATTTATTACAGTGTTGGTGCTTATTGCAGGTTGTTTTATTTAGTAAAGAAGTTGATATTCCCATAGAATTTCAATATAAATTAGCTTCAAAATTAAATTGCTGTTACTTCTCCAAGATGTAGATCCTGTTTTTAATCACATTAAACTTAAACCCTCTGCATTTCTAAATCTATTTTTGAACACTCACCTCATTCCTGTGGTTAGCAGTTGTTTTAGACTGAGAAAAGGCTTGTTAAAAAATTGTTGAGTCTGTCAGATGTGCTGCTTCATCAGTATTACTTCCAGTCACCGAATCCATAATATGTTAGCAATGCTCAGCATATTAAGAAAATGTGTATTAAACACATTTTATGTTGCTTTGATCTGATACGACAGCAAACTCCTTTTGAATGAAGTGTCTAATGTGAAGATGACTTGTTTTAAAATTATAGAGATGTGCATACTACTGTATATTTACGTACATGAGCTTACTTACAAATGATAAAAAGCTCAATGGTGTATTTCCATCTCTTTTAAAACTGATACCATAAGTAATGGAATGAAGTTAGAATTCTATAAAAGGTTTAAAATTATAGTAAAAATATAAAGTCTGAAAATATTTAACATTTTTATGGTTTGAGTTGTCTCCAAGTTCAGAACGTGGAATATCTGCTTTCTTATCAGTGCTTTCGTTTCTCACGTATTTTGTTAAATCTCAGATTTACTTTGAAACAAGAAGAGGAAAAGAGGCTCAGAGTAGAAACACTATATGAGCAAACAAGAGAAAAACTCAGAAGGAAAGAAGAACAGTATTGTAAGGAGATGGACCAGAAACAGCAACTTGAGTTACAATCAAGGAATTTAGAAATGGAGTTAATAACACTGAGAAAGCTCATGAAACAGGTATATTAAATAATGAGATAAACACTTGTCTTCGTATTTTCTCCTTTTTAATTGGCGTTGTATTTCCATATGCCTAAAGAAGAAGGTACTTTGTTTATCGAAGAGGCATTCAGTAAATATTGCCAGATTTTGAGAACATTTGGGTTCCAAGTAGTCTGTCCTTTTTGGATTTTTTTGTTTCTGTTTGTATTTCAGGCAAAGCCTAACTTTGAGTTATTTTTCTAAATTCCTACAAAGACATCTTGAATTACTTCTTTTTCAGAAGAAAATTAAAATTTATAGATGGATTATCATAACTGGGGGGAAGCAAAAATATTTGCAAGAATGAAAAGGAGAATGGGAAGATATTGCTAGCTCTGATTTATCTCAGGGTCTGAATAGTTTCACTGTATTACTATAGGTTGAAGAAGAGCGTGATGAAACAGAGAGACAGCTCTCTCAGGAAAGGAGTGCCAGAGCCCTGCAAGAAGGCATTTTGAACAACCACCTTTGGAGACAAAAGGAACTAGAAGAAGAGACAAGAAGAACTATAGGAAAAAGTTCAGATGTAAACAGATTATTTTTTTCTAATTAATTAAACTTCACTATGTTCATCTAAAGTCATAACAAATCTTACATAACTTTTTCTGCTTCTTGATGGATTTACTTACAGTTTACCAGTGTAACTTTACTGTGTAAATACCTCTTCTGTTTCCCCTTATGTCTCTAAAATTTCTGGAAAGTGGCATCAGTTCTGTGTACCTGAATTACATGTGCAAGTAGGAAACTAACAGAAAACACTATTTATGCCATTTCTATAACTATATTTTCATTTCACAGACATTTTATCATCACTTTTTAAGGTTTCTAGCAGTGAAACTACCTACATCTGGGTTGACCAGGAAGAAAGTTGTTTGGCATTCACTCATTACTTGGGTTTTTTTGCTCATTTCCTTATCAAGCATAGTTACCTGAAATATGCCTTTCTTTTCTACCTCCACATAGTAAAATTTTATGAAGGAAGATCAGCAGTGAATCAAACTCTTTGTGATAGTCAGAATTAATTGAAGGAGAAGAAGCAATCATGAACACTATTAAAAAGAAATCTTGAAAAGAGTTTACTGAATTTACTAAGAATGTGCAGTTCTTGTAGGAATTACTTGTTCTTGGCTGTGTTGCCCAATAAATACAGGGTGAATATGTTTATGTGGGGAAAAAGTTACATAATAAACAGGCAATATGCAAGATTCTTGCGTTCCAGGGATGATTCTGTTGCATAGGTAACTTTCAGTAATACTAAAGAAAAAGTGTTAAGACATTTAAGAAGGAAAACACCATTTTTAGCCTTGTTTTCCTAGGTTTTTTTTTCTCAGATAAATTAACCTTAAAGGGATTATTTTAAAAGCATGTACACACAAGAAAGCACTATCATTTTAAAAGCTTGATACCTGAGGTATTTAAAATAATTTTATTATTTAGTTGCCAGTTTAAGAGGGGGGGAAAAAAGGCATTGTATATTTGGGATGTTTGTTTATGGGTATGTTACGCTTTCATTCTATGCAGGCTACTCTGTGCTCATCTTGCATCTCATCTTTGAAGTCATGCTTCAGTATTAGAAATGTTAAAATTCAGTTTAAGTGTTTTTGTAGATTCATTTCACAACTATTTATTCATGTTCCCTGTCATTCAGGAATCTGACACTGAGAGAGAAAAGGATCTGTTGTATAAAAATCAGTTACTGCAAGATGAGATTGCTAAGCTAAGACTAGAACTTGATCAAATAAGACTTAGGCATCAGGAAGAAGAAGGAAAATATTTAGAGGAAAATGAGACCTTGAAAGAAAAAAATGAAGATCTCAAAAAGGAACTTAAACTGAATGAGGAAGCTTTAACACAAACAGTTTTTCAGTACAATGGACAGCTGAATTTACTAAAGACAGAGTCTGCGATGCTAACTTCCAAACTTGAGCAGACAAAAGAAAGCAAAGACAGACTCGAGACAGAAATCGAATCGTTTCGTTCACGTCTGATCACTACTGTTCAAGAACTTGAACGTCATCAGTCATCACACAGTGATGTTGAACGAACATTTCAGAGAGAACGTGATGAATGGCTTCGCTTGCAAGACAAGCTACATCATGACCTCTCTGATGTGCGAGAAACCAACAAGAGCTTGTCTCAGCAGCTGAGTAAAGCTGAAAGCAAAGCTAATAGTCTACAAAATGAGCTTCACCACTTGAAACAAACGCTCAGAGAAAAAACATTGCATTTAGAAATGACACAAAAAGAATTAGGTCAAGCCCAGTGTCAGGCAAAGGAATACGATCATGCTCGACAACTTGAGAAAGATCAAGTAAGCAAACTTATAATAAAGCAGGAATCCATGCAGGAGCGATTAGCCCAGCTCCAGAGTGAAAACCTTCTGCTACGTCAGCAACTGGAAGACTTGCAGAACAAGGGGATCATCAAAGAAAAAGTAGTGAATGATGTGCAGGATCGGTTTAATGATATTTTCAACAAACTTAGAGCTGATACTGAAAAGCAAGTTTACCTAGTGGAAGAGAGAAACAAGGAATTAAATGCCAAGTGTACCGATTTAAGAGAGCAAGTCTTCAAGTATGAGGCGGACAAAATAGAGAGAGAGGTAAAATACAGATTTTAAAAGAATAATTTAAAGTTTGTTAATTCTTGAAATTATTATGTGTTTCTACAGTGTCCCAGGTATAAGCTATATGCATGGGACCAGATAATGCAGATTCTTCTTTAGCAATTTTTTCATCTCTTTTCCTTAGTCCATTTTTTTCCCTATAGAATGGTTTTATGTATTTGATGGTTTTTATAAGTACTGTACTGATGACACAAATAGAGTAGTATAATGGAAGAGCCAACCAATATGTGAAGGTTGAGAAATGAAGATGCAGACAAGTGAAGTGATATGGGATAGATTTATATTGAGTTCCTACAAAGGAAAGAATCATTTCTCTGTAAGTTGCTCTCAAAAATTAAGAGTATTGTAGTGTCCAGGTGTTAATTTATGTATGTTTTAAGGGTTCTAAGGGAGTCTGCCTGGAGAATGCATTATTATATGTGTTCCTCAGAGCTGGTAGTGTCTTGTCTACTGATAGAGTATTCTACCAATTCCAGGTAGAGCAGTGATTTAAAAGTTGCCTTACCCATTTTGTTGAATCTTCCTTTACTTGCTGGAAAACAGGAACTAATCACATTCAGTATTTAGACACACAAGTGTAAGGTTTGTCTCTCTTGTAAATTTAAATCTAGACTCTTTGAGTGAGGTAAATATCTATGTGTATCACATAACTGCCTTATTATTCATTTGTGAGTCACTTTAAGATGTGTGTAGGGAGAGAACTCCAGCCATACTGTCATTTTAATCTCTGAATTACTGCGTATTCTTGCTATCAAAATAGCAGAT